GGGGGGGGGAGAGCACACGTAGGAGGCTCACAGTCCAGGCTAGCCTGAGCTAAAAGGAAGACCCTACCTTGAAACAACCAACATAAAACCGGGTGGGAGGCCTCGCTCGATGGTGGAGCATGTGTGCCGCAAGCTCGAGGCTCTGAGCTCAGCTACAAGAACTGCAGTCCCCAAACACAACGACCCGAGACCGTGTCTCTATTTCCTTCCTATCGGCTTATATTACCAGAAGAACTTAAAAGATTAAGAATATCCAGGCTATAGAGGATACCATGGCTCACAGTAAATTCAGCAATGTGTTAAAATCTTGAAAAGAATCCCAGGCAAGCTTAAGTTTGGTACTATAAAAATTGACTTTCAAAATGCTGGGGAAATGTTTCCATAGAGAAACAGGCAAGTTGCTGACTTTCCTCTTCTTGTCGCATGACTACTCATGATTCCTTCTTAGGTCACAGTGGCAGGAGGCCCTTTCTCTCATTGTCATGTTAGCACCGTAAGAGGACACATCAGAAAAATGCTTAGACCAGCGGTTCTCTTCTGGAGATTGCTACGGAGTTCTGCACCATGGAACAGTTAAGGCTGGAGCAAATGAGCAGGCTCTGTGCTCATTCTCCTACAGAACAGCCACTCACCAAGGACGAACGTCGCTCTCTGGCAAAGTGCGTGTGTGCGTGATTGTTTCCTTCCTTCCTTTCTCTCTTTTTGTTGGTCACGGGGCTTGGACTCTGGGCCTGGATGCTGTCCCTGAGCCCTTTTGCTCAAGGCTAGCACTCTACCACTTGAGCCACAGCACCGCTTCTGGTTTTCTGGTGGTTAATTGGAGATAAGAGTCTTTTGGGGACTTTTTTTGCCTAGGCTGGCTTTGAATCATGATCCTCAGATCTCAGCCTCCTGAGTAGCAATGCCTGGTGGAAGTGCTTTCTTCAATTACTGTTTTCTTTACGCAATATTGGGGACAGAAACTAGATATTGGGAAAAAAACCTAAACAAACCAAGTTTTTGTATACTGTAGCTTTTAAATCTGCAGTAAGTCTGTTTTACTTTAGGATGTAGTAAGAGTTTTGATTAAGATGTCTACATGCAAACAAATTCAAATGCAGCTAGTCATTAATATTTCCATATGTGAATCCCTAGACAAAATGAACAATGAATAAGCTCAATGTAAACTGAAAACATGTTTGGTATGTTTGAAAGATGTGTTTAATGTAAAACCTTAGCTTTGTCTCGCCCTGATTGTTCTAATTTATAATTTTCAGTTTAACCATTTTACCTTTAGAACAATATAAAAAGCCATTTGATTTACTGGCATAAAATCTAGCGGACATTTAGCTGATATACATGCATCACTGATTAGTAGTGCAGATTTGCATAAATCATGGCTTTGAAAGGTGCATCATTAAAATCTGCAGTAATACGTACATAAAATTTACCGCTTTTGATCACTGTAGGTAACGTTTACACTCTTCATTCCTGTCACCGCCAGCTTTTTTCATGACCCCATCATTCTCTAATCCTAGGGACAGCTTACGGGTCCCTGGAGTGGAAGGACAGAGTGGCTTTGGGGCTGGGCTGTTTCTTTTGGTATAATGGTGGAGAGTCACCTATGCACTGAGCCTGGTGGAACTGTCTTCCGCTCTGAGTGTGAGAGCCACTCCACTGCTGGCGTTCTGTGCACTGGGTTTGTCCACTGTCAATGGACACTAGCTCCCTGCACTCCGACTCTGTCAATGCTGCTCCTGTAAGCCAGGTAGGCACATGTCTGTCCTAACTTGGGCTTCTCATTCTTTCAGATGGAGGACACAAGCAGACTGGCTAGATTGTATGGTGGATTCCATTTCAAATGTCTGGAGAGGCCAGCACCGGTCTCCAGGGCTACTTTGACTTCCTTAGCCGCACATACAACCCCAGTTTGCTCAGCATCCTTGCCAAAACTTGTTACTTTCTGCTCTTTGGACAGCAACAGTAACTATGGGCATAAGGTGGCATCCTTTGGTTTTAATTTGTAGTTCCTTAATGATCAGTTACATTATACCTTATAACATTTGTCACATGTGTACAATGGGTTTATGCTATATGTTGGGAGGTTTTGTGATATGCCCATTGACCAATGTATAGTAATCCTTTATCATGACTTTCTAATATTCTATCCTATTCTATAGGTTGACCTTTGACTGTTGATAATATGCTTTTTTTTTTGTCAGTCATGGGCCTGGGTGCTGTGGCCCTGAGCTCTTTAGCTCAAAGCTAGCGCTCTACCACTTGAGTCACTTAACCACTTCTGGTTTTGAGTGGTTTATTGGACATAAGAGTCTCACGGCCGGCCCGGTCTGGCTTTGAACTGCGATCCTCAGATCTTCAGCCTCCTGAGTAGCTAGGATTACAGGCGTGAGCCACTGGCACCCAGCTGATTGCTTTGCACAGAAGTTCTGAATACTTTGTTTTTAACATAGTTACTTTGGTCTCATAGTCAAAGGAAATTTTCATAACATTGATTTGGCAGTGATTTCTTGCTAAGAGTTTTATTGCTTTGGCTCTTACATGGAGCTCTTTGTTCATGAAGTTAACTTTGGTGTAGAATGCTACAGAAACAGTCCCACTTCATTCTCTCCCATGTGGATGCAAAGCTGCTGAGCATCATTGGTTGAGGAAGACTGTCTTTTCCTCATTAGATGATTTGGTACCTTGTCAGATTCTTTCACCATGCATGTTAAGAGCTTATTTCTGGGCTCTCTGCTGTTAGTCTGTATTTGTGCCTGATTAGTGTAGCTTTGAAATAATTCTCAAAGTCAGGATAAGACAATCAACATTGTGGTTTTTGGTTTATCACAGGGGATGTACTGCAGCCACCGAGCGCCTGTGTCGTAAGGACTCCCGAGGTACACTTCCCTCCCTGAACTCAGGTGTCTTTCCATCTGTGTTTGATGCCCTCCTCTTTCTCTTTTGCTTAGATTCTGTAGATATTTTCCTAAAATAATCCATAGATTACAGTTAACACCCTACATTTGTGACATCTTGTCTTAATACCGACTGCAGTCATATACAATATACTGCTTTATAGGCTCCACAAATTATACATCTATGTTCATGGCTACATCACATACAATTTTTATGTATTTTTGCTTTCAAATCCTTTAGGAAAAATGTGGAGTTACAAACCAAAATGACAGTATTGTAAACATCTGTGCACATGTCCTTGTGTTAGCTTTCCATGACTCTGACAGAACACACAGACAAGCTACTTGAGGAGGGCCCACTGCCCTGCTCATGGGCTCCAAGGTGTTAACAGGTGACGCAGGACGGCGCGCTCGCTGAGACGGCATCTAAGGTAAAGGGAAGGTTTGGCCTATGGTTCAGAGATGATCAGTCCTTGGTCCCTAAGCTGTGCTACTTTACGCCTGTGAACACACGCTGTGATGGGAGAGAAGAAAGCAGAAAAGAGACACGGAGAGAAGGGAGAAGAGAAGACACACAGGGACAGATGGGAGAGGAAGAGAAGGAAAAGAGAAAGGAGGGAGGAGACAGAAGAGAGAGGGGACAGGGAGGAGGGGAAGGGGGGAGACAGAGAAGGGGAGGGAGAGAGGAAAGAGGGAGGGGTCAGGCACACAGGAAGGACAAAGTGGAGAGGAGGGAGAGAAGAAAGGGGATAAAGACGGTGAGGGAAGACACAAAGGGAAGACAGGGAGAAAAGAAAAGCAGCGAGGGAAAGGAGAAAGAGCGAGGATAGACACACGGAAAGGACAAAGTAGGGAGAGAGGAGGGGAGTGATAGGGAAGGAAGAAAGGGGAGGGAGAGGGAACAGAGAGAGAGAGAAAAGAGGACAGACACACAAAGGACAAAGTGGAGAGAAGACGCAGAGCGGAGAGCAAGGCTGAAGAGAGGAGGATAGAGGTGAAAGAAAGGAGGGAAGACGGCTGGGAAGGTGGCTCAGTGGTAGGGCGCTTGCCTAGCATGCATGAAGCCCTGGGTTCCATTCCTCACTTCTACCTACATAGAAAAAGCCGGAAGTGACACTGTGGCTCAAGGTAGAGTGCTAGCCTTGAGCAAAAGAAGTTCACGGACAGTGCCCAGGACCTGAGTTCAAGCCCCAGGACTGGCAAAAGAAAAGAAAAAAAAAAAGGAAAGACAGAGAAGGAGAGAGACATGAGGGAGAGGAGGAAAAGAGGGGAAACACAGAAGAGGAAGAGAGAACTGTTGCTCACCTTGGAATGGCAGGCAGGGAAGGTGGAAGAGGATCTACCAGTCCATTCACCTACGAACTCATCCCTGAATTAATCCATTAATGATGTCCGGACCTCATGACCCAATCACCACCTAAAAGTCCATTAGTTGTCAACCAAGACTTTTAATATACCCTCTTTGGGTAGCATTTGGATCTAAAAATATCCATTTCATTCATTAAATCAGTAACTACTTGCTGATGTGCTGGACCCAGGTATTTGGTGCAAGTTACTGGGACAACATGAGGGAAATCTTGGTATCTAATAAACAATGTGTTAAGTCCTTTCTCCTTGAGGGAAATAAGAGTAGGTAAATATACACATCAACTAAGAAGTCTGGACAAATTCTAAATAAAGTACAAAAACTACCCAAATAAAGAAAGCCTAATTATCCATTCTTTGTGATTAAAAACAAAAACCCCAGAGACAGCACTGAATCATAGTTTGCCACTGAAAACTATTCCAGTTGTGTTCCGTCTACTCAGGATGCTGAGGACTGAGGGTTATTAGGCAGAGCTAACCTGAGAGACTTGTATTTTTTTAATCAGTAAAAACCTAGACGTTTGACACTTGAGATGGCTCAAGTGGTAAAGTGCCAGGTGTGACCCAAAAAGCTGAGAGTTCAAGGCCTGGAGTTGAAGCCCCAGTACCCGCTCAGCAACAACAGAAGAAACCAGAATCCTCACCATTATTTACAAACCTCCCGAAGATGCATCTTTCTCCGATAGCAAGCCAGCACATTTTCCTTGGATGTGCTTTAATTCCATGAATAAAAGCACAAGAAAAGTGGCTGTCAGGTTCCTTATTGATACGATGGCAGGCATGGGGCAGGGCTCCATCTCTGGCTCTGGCCTGTTAGCAGCCTCTAAAGTGGGACAGACTTTCAGCAGTCTGCATGTTGCCTATAGACTGGCAACACCGGAGTTATTTAGTTGGAAAAGCTGTGCCTCACTTACCAGTCCAAATTCATTCTTTAACACCACCACCATTCCTGTTTTCCTTCAAAGATTCTAAATGCCAGTATGCTGGGTGGGGCTGCTGCTTTTAACATAGGCTCCATCTAAGTAGAAAGCTTAACTATCACAAGCAATACAGGGAAAGGAAGAAGATAATCTATGCAGGCGCGCAGGCGGAGGCAGCATTGTGATGAAGCCATTAGCAGGCAGATGGGCAAGGTGGTGAAATGCTTAGGTCATGCTAATAGCCGTCACATCCTGAGGCGCTCGGGCGGAAGCAGAGGACAGCCCAAACGCTAAGTAGAACTGGGTTTTAAAAATGCTATTTGCTTGCATGCTTGACATTCTTTTTAGCCCTATTTTTAAAGCTCAAATCAGGATGGACCAAATATGTGAGAACACAGCAGGACGGGGGGGGGGGCACGGCTCCCCGTCCCTCATCCTGCTGCCCAGACGGCCGAGGGGTCATGCTTGCTGGTGACCGTGGGCAGGATGGTGTGAACTGCTGGCGCTCACACCACCTCGAAGGAGTCCTACTCAGATGAAGCGAGCAGAACCGTCTACAAAGAGTCTGTCCGTCTGCACTCACAGAGCCTGCGTGGGATGTTGGACGCGCACACACAGTAGGTCTAACCTCTAAGGGTCAATGTCTCCCATCTCTAGTAGGCTTACATTCTTGTTAGAGGCAGAGAAAGAAGGAAGTAAATGAATGTACTTCACAGCACAGTGATGAGCGGGGCGAAGGAAATAGTGCTGAAGGCATAGTTGCCGCAGGGAAAAGCAATGATGTAGGAAAATAGTCTCCAGTCTACCATCCTTATGTAAACACAGGCTGTCCCTATGCTAAGGATTAAAGCAGATAACTGTCAAAAGTCCTTTGACAACTCAGAAATCCTAAGACAACAAGCTTAACAAGAACATTTTCCTGAACTTGAGCAGTCCCCAATAAGTACTGCCAATAGTTTTCATTGTAAAATAACCAAGGGCTATTAAGATTCACGAAGATGAAAACGAGTAATGTACAACACTAGAATTCTTACCAAACCTACAGACACGTGAATACCATTAAAAATTGGAAATGTGAATTTCCAATGTAATTAACAATAATGTAAGATTCTTTTACACGTACTGCATTTCCAGTTCCAATATAATCTAAGGGTAATAAGAGCTCAATATTTGCTAAACTAATAACTTGGTCTCAGAAACCATTTAAAATGCCAATTATAACATTAAAGGTCGAGGCTGGGGTGTAGCTCAGTAGTAAAATACCTCCCCTGACATTTGTGAGGTCCTAAGGTCTATCCCTGGCACTGCAAAAGGAGACAAAGATAAAACAACTATCCAGGATTGAAAGTATTGCTACTTATGGAAAGATAGGGATAGGGAAATCTGTAATACACTCCAGGAAAAACAATCAAGTACCCACCTTAGGCCCAACAGACTCAGTATCTGGTAATTTATCCAAAGAAATAGACAAGCACCCAATGATATCTACTTATCTAACTATACTTGTAGCAAGTATGTGAGAATACAATAGTGGTCTTACTGTATGGACAAGAATGAAAACGAGGAAAACAGTTCTAGATAACCCTCAACAAGGCACTGGTTAATTGAGATACAATATATTAGTTCAATTCAACTGAAATGCTATATATTTGCTTTTTGTTTTCAAGACAGTCTATCTACAGGGCCCAGGTGGCCCAATATTGCCTATAAAGCCTAGGCTAGCCTTGAACTCTGATCCTCAGACCTCAGTGATGGGATTACAGAAGTACCCTTGTGTTTGGCAAGTGTATCTGCTGATAATGAAAAGCATTTATAAATGTTAAGATAAAAAAGATCAATGTTGAATTACTATGTGATACAGCAGTTCTAATCATAGGTAGAATGCTAAGAAAAATAAAAACATGTCCACTTATTATTCAAAAGTCTATGATGCTGGGTGCCGGTGGTTCATGCCTGTCATCCTAGCTACTCAGGAGGCTGAAATCTGAGGATTGTGGTTCAAAGCCAGCCAGGGCAGGAAAGGCCGTGAGATTCTTATCTTCAATTAACCACCAGAAAACCAGAAGTGGAGCTATGGCTCAAGTGGGAGAGCACTCGCCTTGAGCTGAAGAGCTGAGGGACAGCGCCCAGGCCCAGAGTTCAAGCCCCACTACTGACAAAAAAAGTCCATGAATATGGCAAGTGTATAGGCTGGACTACTAATCAGCTATTAAACGAATGATGTATTGATACAGATGGTAAATTATGGATGAATCTTCAAAACATTGTACTAGCTGAAGGAAGCCCAGTGTGAGAGACCACAGGTATAATTCTATTTATAAGCATGTTCACTGAGCAAACTGAAGATAGAAAACCGATTGGTGGTTGCCTAGACAATGGGGAGCATCTGTTAATGGGTCAGTGATTTCTTTCACGTTGTATACTTAAGAGAGTGGCAATGATCACACGTGTAACTGTATATATTGAGACCTACTCAACTGTATGCGTCACAAGGGCCAATCTTCCCCCAAACAAAATATTAAAATTCGTATGGAATCTTTCTGGTACTCTTAAGTATCGTTTTGAAAAAAAATAGGAAAGATGGTGTTTGCACACGTGAAGTGCGCAGTACTGACATTAAGACAGATGTGGAGGCCAGCGGGCCAAGTAGCTGCAAAGTTAGCCCTCACGCCTGCATAGTCAGCTGGTTCTCAACAGGGAGCCGTAGCCTTTCATTGGGGCAAGAACAGTCCCTTCAACAGATGGTCCACATGCGGAAAATGGGTGGACCCTCTTCTTAACACCATATAAAAATCTTTGGGGTCTTAGGACCCCAAACTATAAAACTACTGGAAGAAAACACAGATACAACGAATAAACATAATGAATAAATGAATAAACACACACTGGAATAAAGAGAGACTCTGACAGACTATAGTATAGATAAACATTAAGGACAGTATGCTAAGTGAAGCAACCATCACGAAAAGATGAACACTGGTCATGCACCCATGACTCACACTTATAATCCCAGCGACTCCAGAGGCTGAGATCTGAGAGTCACAGTTTGAAGCCAGTCTGGGTAGTAAAGGTCACAAGACTCTTATCTCCAATAAACTACCAAAAGTCAAAATTGGAGCTATGGCTCAAGTGGTAGAGTGCTGCCTGAAGCAAAAGCAGCTCAGGGATAGCACCCAGGCCCTGAGTTCAAACCCCACCATAAAAAAGAAATGCACATGTAGAATAGAAATAATACGTAAGAAACTATTGAAAAGTTTTAAGTGTTTGATCATAGGTAAGTAAGTCTATTGTATTTTTCTGTGTGTTCAGATTTTTCTTCTGGTGAAAACATGTGGCCCTGATGCGGTCTATAATAAAAAGCAGAGCAGCGCGAGGCCATACCTGGGTTGGAGTGTTTGTGGTCACAGGAGATGGCGACTCCCTGGCTTTTGGCTCACTTGGCGATGCGGCGGACCCCTGAGACTCCTGGCTAGCTGGCTGGTCGGGAGACAAAGCATCACTGCTGTCTTCGTCGAATGAGAAGTCGCCCTGACTGTGGGGATAGCCCTCCTTCCCGGCGCCTAGAGAGAGAAATGACTGTTAGCGTCCGCTGGCCTGGGAATACCACGCTTAGAAGGAAAAAGGGGAGACAGCACCACCCATGTGAACATCCCAAGCTGGTTTAAAGTAATAAAGAAGAAAGGAACACAGTGGAAGCACACACTGCTACCTATGATTTATTTTGGGGGAGAAAAAAATTAAAAACACAAATCAGACCAAGCCTTTAGATCCGACTACCAGTTAAAGCAAGTGCAGAGGGCAGGAATGAAATCCTGTGGCTCACGTTAGAAAACAACTCAGGCCTGTTTGTCAACAAATGAGTAGTAAGATAAAAAGGGAAGGCCAAGGTAGAGATTTAAAGATCTGTAAGGATCTGAGGCAGCATGCAGATCAGGCTCTGACAGCCCCAGAAACAAGTGTTGAATGGGGGAAAGGGCTAGAACGGCAGGGTTCCTCCAGGTAGATCCACATCTTATTTTGGGGGAGGGGAGGAGAAGGGGGGGTGTAGGAGGGTGGTTCCTCCAAACCTAGATGGACAGTTGATTGCACAAATTGGAATTCATGGCTATAAATCATCTAAGCTTTAAACTCACAAATAAGTCCCTGCGAACAATGGAAACTACAACAATTTTTTGTGGGTTTTTTTTTTTTTTTTTGATTGGTCGTGGGGCTTGGACTTGGCCTGGGCACTGTCCCTGTGCTCTTCAGCTCAAGGCTAGCGCTCTACTACCTGAGCCACAGCGCCACTTCCGGTTTTCTGGTGGTTAATTGGAGATGAGTCTCACGGCCTTTCCTGCCCGGGCTGGCTTTGAACTGCGATCCTCAGATTCTTGAGTAGCTAGGATTACAGGCGTGAGCCACAGGCACCTGGCCTAACAGTTTTAAAACAGGACAGTAACTTTTCAAAAGATTAACTACTATTATTTTTGAAATGACATTTTCCCCCTCCTAGAAGTTACACCAGAAACAAAAAAACACTGGAGATAGGGGTATAGCCCAGTGGTTCAATCCTTAGTAAGGAAGAAGAGAGGGGGAAATCAGGAGGTATGGGAAGGCCAAGGATAAAGCAGACAGAGACTACCATTTCACAGAACACATCTGTATCAGCGCACCACTGGCTTTCCTACAGTAATACAGAACAAGCCACTTCTCTTTTCTAAAAGAGAAGAAAAATAGCTTGTGAAAATATAATGAAAGGTTTGTAAGAATACCAAGCACCAGAAATGAAAAAGTATAACACTGAACTTTATCCTAGGAAATGTGATAAGGAAACGAAAAGTCAGACCTAAATCTCAGACATGAAAGGGGAATCTGTGTTAATCGGGAGGAAGTAACAGTCCTGAGAATCACTGTCCATGTCAGGCAACTTCTAATTGAGCAAGAGAACAATACCCATGGTGGATGCTGGTCCTTTCATGAATGTGCTTTATCTGAAATCCATCCATCCTCCCTCCATCTCTGCCTCCCGCCTTCCCTTCCTTTCCCTCTCCCCTCTCATTTCCCTTCTTCCCCATAATTCAGCACTTGCCTATAACTGCTTCCTTCACGCTGGAGTCCACGGGGAGGATGTTCTTCTCCACCAGCTCCATGGGACCAGGTCTTTGAGCAATCTTCTCATTCAGATCATCGGCCAGCCGAGCTCTTTTCAACTTCATCTGAGTAGCCTGCAGGGAGGGCTCTGCAAATGTTTCTGAGAGAGGAAACACAATTTTCATTGTTCCATGGACTATCTCCATCCATGAGGTCATCGGGATCTTCAGCTCAGGCCTAGACATTTACAGGTTCCTAGAATCCTTGCTGAAGAGGACATGACTGTTTATGAATGCTCCAGGCCAGGCACTGGAGGCTCACGCCTGTCATCCTACCTACTTAGGAGGCTGAGATCTGAGGATCCTGGTTTGAAGCCATCCAGTGCAGAAAATTTAGGCACTTATCCGCCAATTTTATTTCTTTAAACCAAGCTAATCAAAACTGATTTAATGTTTTTTTTGCCAGTCTTGGGGCTTGAACTCTGGACATTTTTTTGTTCAAGGCTAGTGCTCTACCACTTGAGCCACAGCACCACATCTGGCTTTTTCTTCATTTATTAAAAGAGGTAAGAGTCTCATGGACTTTCTTGCCTGGGCTGGTTTCAAACCGTGATCCTCAGATCTCAGCCTCCTGAGTAGCTAGGATGACAGGCGTGAGCCACCAGTGCCAGATGGCGATTCCTTTTGTAGTTGTGTATTTGCCCTAGTTTTACTTATTTTAATTAAAAAGGAGTTTTGGAAGCAGATAGCCCTGTTACCACACAATGTTGTGCCTCATACGTCAGGAAATTTTGACCTAGGACCCAGAAGGAGTCATTTTCCATGTTACTTACCAGAGGGCTGGCTTCTTTGAAATTACTTATTGCTGATAGCTGGTAGATGCTCTGCCCGACTGAAACTCTGGGAAAAGCCATTTCAATCCAGAGGACTTCCGAGAGCATGACCCAAGTAGAGCAAGGTATGTTTGTACCCTCTACCCCTTGCGCTGGAGAGAGGAAGACTAGCACACAGCCATGGACTCTTCAGGCCAGAAGAGACCCTACTTTGGAGTCTAACTCAATACACGAGCTGTTTTACAACATCCTAACGTGGTGTCAGCCTGTGCCTTTTCTCTACCACAGCAGCCTCTTTATTCTCCAGTGGAACACTGTTTCAGTTTGAAATTCACCTTTTTGTTTACTGTGATCTGTTTTCGCCACTAGAACATCAGCTCCAGGAAGGCAGGGGTCCATATGTCTAACAACTCGTGAAGATTTCACTTTTGGACATGTCTGACCTTTGAGGATTATTCCTCATGGTAAGCTGCAATCCTTTATCTTGTAAGATGCACCTAATTCTATACTAATTCTATATTCAGGCTCAGAGACAACGGATCTTGCTTCTATCTGACAACTATCTCCAAGTGCTTATGAAGTTTCCAGATTCTTTCTGAATCTTCTCAAGGCTTAACACACTTGTGACTATCACAGGATCAAGTTCCTCATCCTGCTCATTAAATCAGAAAAGCTTTGGGAGCTAAAGTAAACGGATAGAGGCAGGAGCTTCCAAGACTGCTCTTCCTGAAAAGGGGGAGCAGGGGGGCTAAGCCATGCCTTTCGCAAGGATGGAAGGGCAGCTGCTCCCCTCAGGATCCTCAGGGAGGAGGTCATGTCACTGGGAGACTTTGAGAGCGGTGGGTGGATAAATGTCAGATCATAAGGATTGTAGTCATGCTCAGGAGATATGAAGGACTTGGGGCTTAAGGTTAGATTTATGACTTAACGAGCATGGCATATGTCCTTCATTATTTAAAAAACAACAAAACCCCTCTGGATGAAGCCTGTCCAGGGTGTGGGCAAGGCACCTGCAGGACTGGCAGTGGAAGAGCCAGCTCATCAGCTGGTTATTTGGAGAGTCAAGTCTTCTCCTGTACCAAACACTGTGTTTTAGTTGGGGGGTCTTCAGATCTGGAGAATGCCAGCCTGTGAGGTAAAAAGTTACTAGAATGGGAATCAGAGGAAAGAATGGAATTTGTACTTGCTTTCTTGAGAAAAATGCAGCAAAATAAGCAGAAATAAAACTTGTACCTTCTAAAATATGCATCCTGACAAGTTCAGAACGGTCTGGTCGACTCCGAATCTTGTGTTTCAAAAAGTTTTCAGTCTTTAAAAAAAGAGGTAAAGAAAGTCTTATCATAAATAATTCATAATTTATTGTGGTTTTCCATTTTTTTCAGGGTAATCCACTAAGTAAACTGTGTATTCTTTTTGTCAGGTGTTTGAGAAAAAGGCTAGAAATCAGTAAGAAAATATTTCCAATATGATTTAAATTGTTATCTTCAAAATGCTCCACAGATTTGAAAAGGATGTGAGTAGCAAGTAAGTACTTCATTGTCTTAACATCAAAACTTGTGAAAATCAAAAGCTCAAAATGTTCAAGATGAGTTTTTTTTTAAAGCCGGGCGCCAGCGGCTCACTCCTGTAATCCTTCTACTCAGGAGGCTGAGATCTGAGGATCGTGGTTCAAAGCCAGCCTGAGCAGGAAAAGTCCGTGAGACTCTTAGCTCCAATAAACCACTAGAAAACCAGAAGTGGCGCTGTGGCTCAAGCGGTAGAGCTCTCGCCTTGAGCTGAAGAGCTGAGGGACAGCGCCCAGGCCCAGAGTTCAAGCCCCATGACCAACCAAAAAAAAAAAAAGATGATTTTTTTAAAAAGACAAACCTAATCATTTAAACATATTTCAATAAAATATTATTTTTGGATTTCTAAAAAATATTAATATCCTTTGATAAGGTCATTATCATCACTCATATTTCCTTTATCAGAACTATACTCATTCTTAAAAATAAGGCTTTAAAAAAGTAAGTCTTAACCAGGCACAGGTGTCTCATGCCTGTAATCCTAGCTACTCAGGAGGCTGAGGTCTGAGGATCGTGGTTGGAAGCCAGCCTGGGCAGGAAAGTTCCCATGGGATTCTCATCTCCATTAATCATTCAAAAACTGGAAGTGGTGCCTTGCCTCAAGTGGTAGAGAGCTAGCCTCAAGCACAAAGAAGCCCAGGGACAGCACCTAGGCCCTGAGTTCAAGCCCCACAACTGACCAAACAAACAAACAAACAAGTCTTGTATCTTATAAAATTCTTTTTTTTTTTTCTTGGTCGGTCATGGGGCTTGAACTCTGGGCCTGGGCGCTGTCCCTCAGCTCTTCAGCTCAAGGCAAGTGCTCTACCACTTGAGCTACAGCGCCACTTCCGGTTTTCTGGTGGTTTTTATTGGAGATAGGAGTCTCACGGTCTCTCCTGCCCAGGCTGGTTTTGAACCGCGATCCTCAGATCTCAGCTTCCTGAGTAGCTAGGATTACAGGCGTGAGCCACCAGCGCCCGGCAATCTTATAAAATTCTAAGTGGTTATTACTGCATGCTGGGAAAACTGTTAAGGAATTTTTGGAATATGTGTCATAGACATTATACCCCAAAACAAACTCAAAGGAACAAATGAGCATAATGACACTTTTAGAGACAAACGCAGACACCCATGTGTGTACTGATGGTGCCTCCCCGAAGGACAGGGCAGCCGGGCCAGCACGGCAGGGTTCTTAGGCTGCCATTCCTCCACGCTCAGGTAAACGCCTCACTGCTGCTCTTGGCAGGGTAAGGGAGGGAGGATTACTCTCTTACGATGTCTCTAAGACCTTTCCTTAGGTCCTGAGAACAACGTGAAGAAATGTGATTGATACACCGAGTGGGGAAAACGAATCCATTTCTGGCTTAAAACTAATACTATTTAAATGTGACACATTTTCTTTGAACTCCACCAAACCACCTTAGAACCCACACCATTTAGGCTGTGTTTTTCTACTGACACACTTAGGTGTGCGATTATGTGTCCACATGTACAATGCAACAACATGGAAAAATAAAACACTTTAAAAGTCCTTACTCTGGCTCGTTCCAAGCTTTTTATCTGTTCATGGAATGCCGCTGGGCTCTTCAAAGCTGTGAGGGGAAAATCAATGGTTTCACAGTGTAAATACAGGAGTTCACGCCTCAGTCCAAAGCTACACCACATCACCTTGATGGATAATCCTAACTGTGCATAGCTCGAGGTCCATTTACTTCCTCTAAGAGATACCGAAAATTTGAAGTGCTATGAAATTAAATGTATATATTTTACAAATAAACATTTGAAACAGGGTTGCATATATAATGACAATACCGGGCCAGACAACTTCCCACCACTATCTGGGCAAGCTTGCTTAGGGCCCGTGACTGGCCCTTCAGAGGTCTTTGCTCTTCATGCCATATCAGCTCAAAGCCCAACGTGGCCTCAGACCCGAGGCGCTGTTTATTCCTAACCCACAACAGGCTCAGCTCTGGGGCCATCACGATGCTGCTGCTTTGGTCTTCATAGCAGCCGTGCACGTAGGTGTCAATCAGCCTGGCACATATGAAAGACCCAAAGAAGCCAGTGACTTCTTGAGGTCATACAGGTAGGTGATGGTCAGAGGGACTGAGATTTAGGGGGGTGAATTTCTAAGGCTCATGTTCTTCCTATCACGTGCTCAAAAATCACAGTGACTCTTCAACATGAGGGCAGGCAGAAGTTAGGAAAACCACACCTGCTACACAATTCCTATGGACTGTCTTTGCAAAATCACTTTGGCTATGTGCATCAAAATCTCCTAGTAGACTGCATGGATGCCCACAGGTGAGCAGAAGGGATGCGTAGCCCATCCACCAGGGCTAGGCTTCTGTGTCACCGAGACTCGGTCTGGCCTTGCGGCACTGCAGGGGCTCCCAGGTTCTCTGTGGCAGGTAGAGTGGCCTAGTGATATCATCCTCAACATCTCCATTGAATCCTGCTTGTTTGGTTCACAGAGAAGAATGCAGTAGTGGGAGAATCGGGCAGATTATCAGAGCAGCCTTTGACTATTGTAATTTTTAATGGAAGCTTTTTCAGTAATTAATCGTCTAGGAAAAAAGTTTCACTAGGAAAAAAAATTTACTGCTGAGAAAAATCATTCCTTTACGATAAATCAGTAAATGGTTTATGGGCCAGCAGTGATTTAGGAGACTGGGAAGCAAAAAACTCACTCGAACTTCTTTCTAGTGTTTTAACTGTTGTAAAACTTTAAAAAAATCCAGATAAGTTAAAAACCTACATAAAACAACTAGCTTCCCCTTAAAATACAAAATCACCCCCAAAGAAGGAATGTTTAAAGGAAAAGAGAACAACTTAGGCAAATACTCAAAAATCTCTTGAAAGGTTGAACCCAAGGGATACTCAGGAAATATTTGTACTTGAGCCAGAAGGATTTTTATTAATTATAAATAGAATGCTTATTAGTCTTCTAATTAAGATACCTTTAATTACACAGACTATAGTACAGTACCAAAGATAATTAATTTGGATTAAATGAGTAGAACAAGACTGAATCAACTTCATCATGTTACTTTTGCAAGTCTAATCTCATATCCATTAGCAAAATGATTACTTCATTTTAAAACTAAAACAAATACTCAAGTTTGAAGGAGGAACTTCAGTGTATTAAGAGTGTTCCTCAGATAATTTGAAACGCATTTTGCGTGGCTCTCTTAGATTGGCAATGCTGACGGCTGCGTCTCCCGCTAGCTAGGTGGCGGCGGCTCTGCCTGCGTGGACAGGCGCCCCCAGGCCGGACATGGCCATGCTGCTGCTGCACACAAGAGATGAACCCTCTGGGTCTTACGTGGCATGATGCCCTGGTCCACTAGTTGTTCTCGCGTCCTCCTCTGCTGCAGCCTCAGCTGGAGCACTGTGGAGAGAAAATAATGACCGTTGAAGCTGATGGACAACTGCAGGGCACAGCGACTCAGGCCTTATTGAACACCGATTTCATAACCAAACAACGAGGACCTGGCCTGGCACTATCCAATTTGCCAAGCGAATTGTTTTGTGATTTCTGTCTGCTGGATGAACTCTGAATTTACACTGCATAAATTTTGTTTAGCTAACAACTTTACTATAAAGCTTATGATTTCCTGTTTAAATATCTTCATATGGCAGCAAAGCAAATCAACTGAAATTGGAGGTTTACACTCTAAGACTTACTAATAAAGGGACTCTCTTCCAGAGAAACAGAAATGGGAGGTTCTGTGGCATCCTTTAGCTTCTTAGCTAGCTGGCTTGCCAAACTGAGTGAAAGACAAATGCTCCCTAGATTTCCCAAGCAGAGTTCTTCTGTGGCATCTCATTACCTTATTTAGAAAATGAGCCTTTTTCAAAGGATGTGATGGTAGAAAATGCTTCCTTGGTATATTAGCTATGTTTGGGGTTAAGCTTCCATTTAGGTTTTTATAGCAGACCAGCAATAAAATGCAAGGTTAGGAGGATTAAGCCTGCGCTTAGGGGTTATCAATAGGTATACAAAAAATAGCTGTGCATTTTTCCAGCAGTGGGGAGGCAGGGGTGCAGGGCCCCGCCCCGGGCTGCCACTCACTTTTCAGTGGCTCTCAAAGGTCCTTAGCTCTGCTTTATATACAGAAGTGTGGCTTCTGTTAGTTTTGGGGGCTACAGGGTCCAATGCTTCACCTACACCTCACGTAGAGGTGAAGCAAGTGATGAAGAACCGTGTTACACAAAACAAGAGAAAAATCATGCTTGCAAAGAACTGTGCACGTTTCTGACATTTAAATGTCTGGTGACAGTTTGTGTCAGCTGTGCGCGGCACGCGAGCGCATCTGCGTCTGAGGATGGTGAGCTCCGCTCCGCTTAGTTAGGAATGAACAGAAGCAAGGCATGGGCCTCTGTGTCTGGCAGTGCCCCGTGGTTGAGTTCTCACAGGAGTGCCGACACTAATGCCCAGTGGCACATAAGGTGGTAATGCACAGAGCAGAACCCGGGGAAAAGCACCGGAGGGCAGGGGTGAGGGGAGGGCGCGCAGAGGCGGGCTCTGGAGTGGAGTGTCAGCGGCGGCGTCTCTCCTTTCTCCTGATGTGATCCTCACGGAAAAGCATCAAAAACAAAGAGTAACACAAATATTAACAGCCTCCTTTTCTGTGTCAAAATAAGCAGAAAACTATCCCCAAAGCAGGAAATGTACTTTCAAGGCAAGTGTGTCCAACACAGTTCACTCGTGGGCGAGTGGTTTCTGAGAGTGGCAAGTGACGTGTAATTAGACTGGAGTGTCTCCCACGCTGCAGCGGTCACGGCAGAGCCCACACACAGCAGAGCAGCTGCTCCAGCTGATCTCCGACGATGGCACACCCGACATCACGCTCCTGGGCACTGCCACCTGCAGCCGTGAGGGCAGCAAAGAGATGTGTGCCTCTCCCTGCTCCTTCCCTGTGCGCCTGCCCTGCACCAAACACGCGGCTTCAGCTCTGACTCCAAGCACATAGTTAGGAGTAGATTCCCAAGCCCGCTCCCATTTCAGATGCCAGTCACTAGCCCAGATGACTCAGACTACGAACTTGTGAGGATCCCACCAGACCATTCTCAGGATTGAGAATTTGCTAGAATGGCTCCCAGAATGCAGGCAGGCACTGCATTATTTTAGAGCACACAATTTAGAAACAGCCCAGTGAAAGAACTGCATAGGGGGAGGCTGGGAAGGGATGTGAAGGGTAAACCAAAGGAGGAGGCTGCAATGCTTGGTAAGAAATGTACGCATTATCCTGCCCATGTAATTGTAACCCCTCTGTACAGTATGTTCACAAATTAAAAAAAAAAAAAAAAAAGAACCGCATAGGGTAAGCAAGGGGAAAGGGCGCCCTCTCCAGGCAGCCTTTGGTACTGGCCTTCACATGGTATAGTGCACGAGGGGGGGGGGGAACACAGGACATCCTGGTGTCCTGCTGAGTAAAGGGCTGAACTGTGTGCTTTTGGGGTCCTAGTTCACAGCTGCTATGCTGTTTTTAAGGTGACTCTCCCATGGTTGTCTTGCAAATAGTTGCACATCAGCTATAGATTTCTCAGGAGGGAAGACAAGTCCAAAACACTCAGTGACAGTATTTACATCTTAACAAAAACCAAGTGCATAGGCCATAGACTAAGACAATTCATGCTACAATTGCTCATATTTGTTCACTTCAAAGAATGTCTCAGAAAAGCCTAGAAACTAAAGCAATCCACATAACAGTCCTGTCATTTGTAAGTTTGATTACTACAAAAAGAAAGGGGGGGGGCAATACAAAAAAAGTCCCTTTCAAACAGGCAGAGTGCGTTCTCCATGGAAAACACCAGCCTCGTGTGGGACTACGACAGCTGTGCATTCCAGAGGAGCAGTTCTCCAGAGGCTGCCCGGGCCACCAGCGCAGAGCCCAGGGGATGCTTAGACCATTTGCTTTTTGCATGCATGTATCTTTCTTAACTAGACTACACCAAGGCCTCTGAAATCAATTTTTCATACATAGTAAGATTGATACAAGATATAAAAATGTAGGAGAAAATAAAAAAAAAGAAAATTGCCAAAAATGTCACCCAGAAATGCAATTGCTGTTATTATCTTGGTATATTTCCTGTCTTTTATTTAAGCATAAATTATTTTTATTTTTTATTTTTTTGTTGGTCATGGGGCCAAAACTCTGGGCCTGGGCACTGTCCCCCAGCTCTTCAGCTCAAGGCCAGAGCTCTACCACTTGAGCCACAGCACCACTTCTGGCTTTTTCTGCTTATGTGGTGCTGAGGAATCGAAACCCAGGGCTTCATGCATGCAAGGCAAGCGCTCTACCACTGAGCCACCTTCCCAGCCCTAAGCCTAAGTATTGACTGTTCTTACAAATTACAGTTGTAGTCTATGAACATGGAACAGACATAATTTCACAGCTACAACGTTCCCTCTTGCCTGGTCCCTAAATATCCTCATCGCTGCTGGGCGCTGGTGGCTCGCGCCTATAATCCTAGCTACTCAGGAGGCTGAGATCTAAGGATCATGGTTCAAAGCCAGTCTGGGCAGGAAACTCTGTGAGACTCTTATCTCCAATAAACCACTAGAAAATCGGAAGTGGCGCTGTGGCTTAAGCCAAAGAGCACTTGCCTTGAGCTGAAGAGCGGAGGGACAGTGCCCAAGCCCAGAGTTCAAGCCCCATGACTCACCACTTTGCTTTTTTCCAATTCTTGTACCTCTACAGAATTCTGTGGTGCACTTTTCCTCACTTCCCATTATCCCCAAATTCCTAGATGGAGTAACACCTCTGTGTAAGCGGGACTAGGCACAATTGCTAAGAGGAAAATTCTGTTCCCAGACATTGTCTTTTGAAATCATGCCAGATGCGAGAGACGATGGCTGCAGATGACTTTTTACCTATTTCATTCAGAGAAAAAAAATTAAGTAATTATGGACCTTTGCCAAGACAATGTGTCTTCATTATTTCCTAAGAAGTCAGGTTCTTTTCCATTACATGCCAACAAAAGAAAAATGCATAGACTTTTGAATATTTAATACTATTTATTTCTTGCCAATAGATTAAAAACAGTATTATCTAAATCAAAGTGCTTTCAACTTTCTCTACCTTTATACAAGCAAAAATTTCATTTTAATCACTATGCTGAAGAAAGCAGACTTGCAATGCTACACTGGAATTATCATTTCTTAGTACCATGAATAGTTCAGGTGTCAAATTCTTTTCCCCAAATCCCTAAATGGTTCTAAGTGACAAAATCTTAAGACTTCCAATAGAAAGTACCTTAAAATATAATTTATCTCACTATCATGTTTGTACCCAATTTTAAATTTTCAACTGATTTTTGAACCAAGATGCTGCTGCTTGTCTCCCTAAGCACTTTCACATTTAAGAATAAATTCCCAAAGGGGAGAGGTGATTATTTGAGGGAAAGTTGTTTTACTTCAGTGTGTGAATTTGGGGTCTGAGGTTATTTTGTTTATTTTGAATTTTTTGGCAGTATTAGGGTTTAAACACAGGGCTCTGCACTTGGTAGGTAGGCACTCTACCACTTGAGCCATTCTGCCAGCTGTTTTTGCTGTCATTTTTAAGACAGGGTCTTAAAGTTATGCCCAAGCTAACTTGGACCTCCTATTTACACTTCTCTCCATAGCCGGGATGGCAGGCACATACCACTATGCTCAGCTTTTGCTGCTGATACAGGACCTCACAAAGTACACAGATTAGCCTTGAATAACAGTTCTTCTGATCTCAGCCTCCTTGGCTGATTACAGGCATGAGACAACACACTTAGCTTTGAAGTTATTTTTGAATTTATCTTGATGGAAGATAAAAGACAAAATGTGATTATGTTGCCTTGAAGAAGCAGCTATGGGCAAAGTGAAGATCATGAGAAAGTAGTGGATACCAGGTTCTTCTCATCTCCATTACAATTCATTTGTGCCACACTGGGGGAAAAACAAAGCACTGCATGCTCTTAGAGAGGTTAACAAGTGGCAAACAAACATTAGAGTTCTGGGCATATTTTCAGGGGGTCTAATTTGCCCATTATAAACTAAGATTCTTTTTCCAGTAATTTTTATTTTTTGTTTGGTCATGGGGCTTGAACTCTGGGCTTGGGAGCCATCCCTCAGCTCTTCAGCTCAAGGTGAGCGCTCTACCGCTTGAGCTACAGTGCCACTTCCGGTTTTCTAGTGGGTTATTGGAGATAAGAATCTCACGGACTTTCCTTGCCCGGGCTGGCTTTGAACAGTGATCCTCAGATCTCAGCCTCCTCAGTAGCTAGGATGACAGGCGTGAGCCACCGGCGCCCGGCTTTCCAGTAATTTTTTAAAATGTGATGCAAAGGTACCACAAAAATGTTGGCGTGTCAGTGAGAGCCAGGCTTTCTATACTACTAAGCCAACTTCAC